GGTAGTCCCACCGATGCTGTGGCAGAGGGACCTTTCGAAGAGGATGAGGACTTCGAGGACGACACTTGGATTGAGCCCGCTCAGTTGATGGCACAGATGCTCGGCGCGGTCGCCGATAGGCAGCCTGCATCTTCTGTGGGCCAGACGGGTTTAGCGGATCACGATGAGGTAGATCTGCAGGATGTCAATGTACCCGCTGCTGATGAGATGGGTCGTGGTAAGCGGCGGCGTACGGCGAATAGGATGTTCGACGGCTTTGTAGGACATTAAGCATGTAGAAAAGCCCTTCAATAATATTATTTCAGTTGTTTTGGCGATTTCTTCACGAATTTGACCGTATGTCCACCCCTCAGAGTTCGTCTCGCCACCGGGACAGTGGACTGTCCCCTCTAGGAGGTTCAGTTCACAGGTATCAGGGGACAGGGGACGAACGTCTGGTCGAAAAAGTACAGTACGAGGTTGAAATGTCGCAAAAGTGTCGTGTGTCATCCATATGGTCACCATCCCGTGACGCCACAATCGAATAAGGCTTGAGTGTGGGGCTGTGTGGCGTCAAGCAGACGCGTCCAGTCGCGTCCAACCTGCAGGGATCAACTCTTTCTCCAGCTTTCATCACTTCTTTTTCCTTGTTCTGGAGCAAGAACGATGTCGAGCGGTGCTCTCATTCGTGCCGCATTCTTCACTGCCGGCGCCGTCGTTGGTGGCGGTCTCGCTGCTGCTGTAGGTTCGAGAAAGCAGTCTCAACCTGCGCCAATACACCCCGGTACCGTCTCACTTCCAACGACCGTGACACCCTCGCCAGTGTCAGCACCTCTCAGCGCACCGTCAAATCTACCGATCGTGGAGGCTGGAGTGAAAGGAGATCCTAGGATATCGAGCGTCACGGCAACGGAGATTACTCCAGTGTTGAGGTATGGGAATCCCGGTGAGTAAAGTTGCAGCTCTTTCGGCAGGCCAGGAAACAACTGACTGGGAAAATGTGGTGCTACGTGATGGTATTTTGGTGATGCGCTATGATAGGACCCATCTCAGACCAATTCGTCAGAAAAGCCTATGTGGCGGCGTACGACCGTCGTTTACGCCACCCAGCCTGGGTGCGTCCCCTTCCCTTCCTTTTATTTATTGCACTTACTGATGGTCATCCGTGAACCTTGGTTCAATGTCTATGATAGACAGCTGAGCATCTAACCCTTGCATCTCTCGGCAAATCTGCCCTCGAAGGACCACCTCCAAACAGCGAAACCGGAGACCGTCAAAAGGCCACATTCCAGGAAGACACGAGCATCCCTCCTCCTTTCCGCGCACGGTTGCAAGACTACTTTAGGAGCGGATATGACAGGGGCCATATGTAAGCCTCCTCATTGCCAAACACCTTCGTGTTGATGTGTAGTTGAGGGCTGGGTGTCTATGGACAGGGTACCGGCGGCGGACGCAAAGCGGTCACAGGTATGTGTTTTTCCTCATATCAGTGTAGAGGACAACAAACAGACTAACTCCTTCAATGTTGCAGGAAGCGATGGACGAGACTTTCCTTCTCTCAAATATCGCACCACAAGTCGGCGCTGGTTTCAACAGACACTGTAAGTCTTTATATCACCACTATGCCACACTTCAACAGCTTTCGGAATCGCACCGCGTATTATCCTATCCCATTTTGTAGCAATTTAATGTCTGACCCTTTCCTGCACACCATATGTAGACTGGGCATATCTAGAAGACTGGTGCCGCCGGTTGACAACCTCCTTCGCCGATGTCTACGTATTCACGATCCCTCTTTACCTCCCTCACCGCGAACCCGACGGAAAATGGCGCGTGGTGAGTCACTCGTCTCTCTTCCTTGTCCTACCTCCACTCCCGTCGCCAACTAACAACGTACCGTTACCTCTGTCACACTCCGTAGAGCTACGAAGTCATCGGCAACCCACCCAACATCGGCGTCCCCACCCACTTCGCAAAAGTCGTCCTCACCTCCCGCCCATCCTCGCCCTCGACACCAAACATCCCCGAGATCTCAACGGGCGCGTTCGTCCTCCCGAACGCGATCATTCCAGATGACGCGCCGTTGGAGAGTTTCGTTGTTCCAGGTGCGTTGTCGTTATTATTCCTTTCTGGTCTTCCTCAGATACCACATTCCTTTCGATCCAATTCTCCTCTCCCAATCTTTATGAAGTTGAACTGATCCACGAAATCTCTTACTGCTGTAGTGGACACGGTGGAACGCGCCGCGGGCCTCACATTGTTCTCGGACGCGCTCAAGACGGGCTCAAAACATATCTGCAAGTCGACGAAGTGCGAAGTTATCGTGCGGAGATTTGATGATGCGCAAAAGAAGATCAAAGGGCCTCGGTGAGACGGGTCAACTGCTATTAGATTACTCGCACAATGATATACGGTGTTACATCACGGACGTCCCATAGTTAACAAAAAACACGCTAATATGCTAATGCTTCCCCGACCGAAGAATGCAAGGAAGCGTAGACGGTGCCATAATGAGGCATGAAGATCGAAGATAATACTCGGGAGGGAAGGTAGACGTCTCCTGAGCCTGAGATTAAGGACAATGATGAAGGGACAGTGGATGGAAATAATAAGAAAGAACAGACGATGGAAGGAAGAGGTCGCCTGAGCTCAAGAGTGTTGTCCAAGCAGGGAAGTGTCGCCATGGGTCATAAGAGCACCGACCCAGTAATTGACGACCATACCGTGCATGCACTCACGCACCTGTAAAAGCTCCACTGTGAACGCAGTCAATGCGGTGTACGCACATCGAGGAGAGAGCACACTCACATGTCAGCATACCTATCCTGCGAGCGTCTGTTAGTCTCCCTCGGAGGGTCGGACTCCGAGGTACTAAAGCCCCTGGACCACGACAAGGTCGACGCTCTCCCAGGGGTCGCTCTGTTGAAGACGATGATTCCGGTGATCGCAGGTCGAGCACCTTGCACGTGAGGTCGTCTTACTCACACTCACACACCTGTAAAAAAAACTACATGAAATGATGCGTCAGAAAGGGCAAGTGAGTCGAAGCGCGAATCCACTCACCTGTTACTTAGTAGCGTCTGTTGGCTTCCCTCCGAAGAGGTACTGAGCCCCTGGACCACGACAAGGTCGACGCTCTACCAGGGGAGGGACTCAAGCTGAAGACTTGAGACAAGCATGGAGAGATGGAGAGGAAAGCGAGAGCGTAAAGAGGAAAGCGAGAGCGTAAAGAGGAAAGCGAGAGCGAAAAGAGGGAAGCGAGAGAGGAGAGAGGGAAGCGAGAGCGTAAAAGAATACCCACACACACAGACCTGTAGAAAAATAAAACTGCACAAAATGCGTTAGAAAGGACAAATGCATCGAAGCGCGAACCCACTCACCTGTTAGTAGCGTCTGTTGGCTTCCCTCAGAGGATCAGACTCTGAAGTACTAGAGCCCCTGGACCACGGCAAGGTCGACGCTATCCCAGGGGACCGTTCTTGAAGCTCTTTGGAGCTCGGTGTCGCTGTCGTGCTTGATCTCGCTCGTGAGGTCGATGTCGATGTCGTGCTTGAGCTCGGTCGTGAGCGATGTCGACGTCGTGCTTGAGCTCGGTCGTGAGGTCGATGTCGAGGTCGCCTAGCTCCAGCCAGCCCAGCCTCAGCCCAGAAACCTAGAGACCAAGCTCACGAGATCCAGCATCCTAAAGACAAATCCCACAAGACCTAGCAGAAGAGGAGACCCAGCAGACGAGGAGACCCAGCGCACCCAAAGACCCAGCAGACCCAGCCCAAGGTACCCCAGAGATCGCCGTCGGTGTTGATGTCGTGCTTGATTGAAGTCGTCGTCGTGCCCGAGTGTTGATAATCAGAGCGCCGGTCGTCTTGAGCTTACCAGACTCAGGCTCACATATCTGAAAGAAAGATGCATAAGATCCGTCAGAAGATAAATGTGTATCGAAGAACACAACCACTCACCTGTCAGTAGACGTCTGCTGGCTTCGCTCAGAGGGTTGGCTTCTGAGGTACTAGAGCCCCCGGACCCCGACAAGGTCGACGTCATACCAGGGGAGGAGCTCAAGTTGAAGACTTGAGACAAACATAGAGAGATGAAGATAGAGACGGCCCAAGGAAGAGTAAAGATGAAAGCGAGAGTGAGAAGATGAAAGCAAGAGTGAAAAGATGAAAGCTAGAGCGAAAGGGAGAGAAAGCAGACGCCTGTAAAAGAATGTAGAGGAAATTAACGACATAGTTTTAAGTAGGAAACGCACCTTGCGAGCGTCTGTTAGTTTCCCCCAGAGGGTCGGACTCCGGGGTACTAAAGCCCCTGGACCACGGCAAGGTCTACGCTCTACCAGGGGACCGATCTTGAAGCTCGTTGGAGCTCGGTGTCGCTGTCGTGCTTGATCTCGCTCGTGAGGTCGATGTCGATGTCGTGCTTGAGCTCGGTCGTGAGCGATGTTGGTGTCGTGCTTGATCCCGTTCGTGGGGTCGTGCTTGAGCGAGGTCGTGAGGTCGATGTCGATGTCGCCCATCTCAAGCCAGCCCAGCCCCAGCCCAGAAGCCTAGAGATCCCACGAGACCCGGCAGCCTAGAGACGCGGCCCACAATACCTAGCAGACGAAGACGAAGAGAACCAGCACACCTGGAGACCCAGCAAACCCAGAGACCCAGCTCAAAATTCCCCAGATCCCGCCGTCCGGTGTTGACGTCGTGCTTGATTAGAGTCGTCGACCAGACCCGTGGTCGTGCCGGAGTATTGGTGATCAGGGCGTCGATCGTCTTGAGCTTACCACATTCACGACTCTGAAATAAAACTGAACAGGACGAATCAGAAGAAATATAGGTGAAACAGAGTGGGAGGACTCACCGGTTAGTATACCTACCGCATGAGCGTCTGTTGGCTTCCCTCCGAAGAGGTACTAGGGCCCCTGGACCACGACAAGGTCGACGCTCTCCCAGGGGGGGCTCGGTTGAAGACGATGATGCCGGTGATCAGAGCGTGGAGCATCTTGTGCTTGAGGTTGCCTTACTCACACACACACAGACACAGACCTGTAGGAAACTAAAAAGACTTTCAGCACAGTCAAGATACGCGCATTGAAGGAGAGGAGACACACATGTTTGTATTCGTTGCTCGTGACATCTGGTAGTTTCGCGTTGGGCGTGAATCTGTCTGGTATGTCAGTGTAGTCGTACAATCAGACGCCTGTAAGAGAATCTGAAGGAAATCAGCGACATGATATTAAGTATGAAACGTACCTTGCGAGCGTCTGTTGGTTTCCCCCAGAGGATCGGACTCCGGGGTACTAAAGCCCCTGGACCACGGCAAGGTCGACGCTCTACCAGGGGAGGGACTCAAGCTGAAGACTTGAGACGAGCATAGGGAGATGGAGATGAAAGCGAGAGCGAAGAGAGAAAAGCGAGAGCGAAGAGAGGAAAGCTAGAGCGAAAATAATGCCCACACTCACGGACCTGTAGAAAAAAACCTACACGAGATGCGTCAGAAAGTACATGAGGATCGAATGCTGATGGCACACTTACCTGTCAGTAGCGTCCGTTGGCTTCCCTCAGAGGATCCGACTCTGAGGTACTAGAGCCCCTGGACCACGACAAGGTCGACGCTATACCAGGGGACCGGTCTTGAAGCTCGTTGGAGCTCGGTGTCGACGTCGTGCTTGAGCTCGGTCGTGAGGTCGATGTTGAAGTCGTGCTTGAGCTCGGTCGTGAGCGGTGTCGATGTCGTGCTTGAGCTCGGTCGTGAGGTCGATGTCGATGTCGCCTAGCTCTAGACAGCCCAGCCCCAGCCCATAAACCTAGAGAGCAAGCCCACGAGACCCAGCAACCTAGAGAGAAAGCCCGCAAGACCTAGCAACCAAAGAGGACAAACAGACGAAGAGACGAAGCAGCCGAAAAGGCCCAGTAGACGAAGAGACACAACACACCTAGAGACCCAGCCCAAGACGCCCCAGAGAGCACCGCCCGTTGATGTCGTGCTTGATTGGAGTCGTCGACCGGACCCGTCGTCGTGCCCGAGTGTTGAACATCAGGGCGTCGATCGGCTTGAGCTGACGGACACCCACACACGGCCTAGGAAGAAAACTAAGCACAGAATGTCCGTTGAAGATATCGATGAACGAGAACAGAAGAAGGACTCACCGGTTAGTATACCTAGTCGAGGTTTTGTCAAGGGCGCTACTGTTGAAGGCAGCTCGTCGCCATTCTCTCACAATCACACAATCACACAGCTGTAGAAAACTGAGGAAAAAGTCAGCGTGGTCCCGAGTATCCGCGCATCGAAAGAGAACTTGACTCACAGATCAATACATGCCCCTCGCGGGCATCTATGAGTTTCGTATCGAACACCACTCCTGTAAGATAATATAGAAGAAATCAGCGTCATAGTAGGAGGAAACGTACCTTACGAGCGTCTGTTAGCTTCCCTCCGAAGAGGTACTAAGCCCCTTGACCACGACAAGGTCGACGCTCTGCCAAGGGGAAGGACGATGCTGCTTTCGCAAGCAGAGCGCCGCACGTACCTGTACTCACACTCACACTCACGCACCTTTAAAGAAAACTAGACACGGAACATCAATAAAAGATCTAGTTAAACGAAATTAGGAGACTCACCAGAACCACACCCGGATCCTGTAACATAATCTAAAACAAATCAGCGACATAATATGAGGGAAAAAAACGCACCTTGCGAGCGTCTGTTAGCTTCCCTCCGAGGAGGTACTAAGCCCCCTGACCGCGACAAGGTCAACGCTCTGCCAAGGGGATCTTGAGGCTGTTGAGGTGAATCGTATCTTGAGATGATGTTGAGGCTGGCGAGAACGTTGCTGTTGCACGCAGAGCGTCGGTCTTACTTACTCACACTCACACACCTATATAGAAATTTAAGCGCTATACATCAATAAACTATATGAGTCAACGAGAGTAGAAATCTCACCACAGCCCGACACGCCTGTAAGAGAATCTAAACCAAATCAGTGACATAGCATAAGGAGAGAAACGTACCTTCCGAGCGTCTGTTGGCTTCCCTCCGAAGAGGTACTGAGCCCCCGGACCACGACAAGGTCGACGCTATCCCAGGGGACCGTTCTTGAAGCTCTTTGGAGCTCGGTGTCGCTGTCGTGCTTGATCTCGCTCGTGAGGTCGACGTCGATGTCGTGCTTGAGCTCGGTCGTGAGCGATGTCGCTGTCGTGCTTGAGCTCGGTCGTAGGTCGATGTCGATGTCGCCTAGCTCTAGCAAGACCAATCCCAGCACAGTAGCCTAGAGACGAAGCCGACAAAGCCCAGCAGCCTGAAATACAAGCCCACGAGACCCAGCAAACGAAGAAAGATAGCAGACCCAAAGAAACAACAGACCTAGAGACACAGCCCAAGATGCCCCAAACCCCGCCGCTAGGTGTTGACGTCGTGCTGGATGGAAGTCGTCGGCCAAACTCGCCGCCGTGCTCGATTGTTGCGATCGGAGCGTCGGCCGTCTTGAGCTTACCACAACGCCGGACCTGAAATAAAACTGCGCAGAACGAATTAGAAAAAAAAAGTGAATCAAAACAACGCGAGCCCACTCACCTGTCAGTAAGCGTCTGTTGGCTTCCCTCAGAGGATCGGACTCTGAGGTACTGAGCCCCTGGACCACGGCAAGGTCGACGCTATACCAGGGGACCGGTCTTGAAGCTCGTTGGAGCTCGGTGTCGATATCGTGCTTGAGCTCGTTCGTGAGGTCGAGGTTGAGGTCGTGCTTGAGCTCGGTCGTGAGCGATGTCGGTGTCGTGCTTGAGCTCGGTCGTGAGGTCGAGGTCGATGTCGCCTAGCTCTAGCCAACCCAGCCTCAGCGCAGAAACCTAGGGAGCAAGCCCACGAGACCTAGCAGCGTAGAGATCAAGCCCACAAGACCTAGCAAACAAAAGAGGCCAAGCTGACGAAGAGACTCAGCAGACGAAAAGACCCAGTAGACGAAGAGAACCAACACACCTAGAGACCCAGCCGACCCAGAGACCCAGCCCAAGACGCCCTAACCTAAGATGACCCAGAGACCACCGCACGTTGATGTCGTGCTTGATTGGAGTCGTCTACCGGACCCGTCGTCATGCCCGAGTGTTGAACATCAGGGCGTCGATCGTCTTGAGCTTACTGGCACGCATTGGCCTGAAATAAAACTGAACAGAACGGGTCAGGAAAAAAATGTAGACCAAAGCGCGAGCCCACTCACCCGTTACTAGTAAGCGTCTGTTGGCTTCCCTCAGAGGATCGGACTCTGAGGTACTAGAGCCCCTGGACCACGACAAGGTCGACGCTATCCCAGGGGACCGGTCTTGAAGCTCGTTGGAGCTCGGTGTCGATGTCGTGCTTGATCTCGGTCGTGAGCGATGTCGATATCGTGCTTGAGCTCGGTCGTGAGCTCGGTCGAAGTCGTGCTTGAGCCCGGTCGTGAGCGATGTCGATGTCGTGCTTGAGCTCGGTCGTAAGGTCGAGGTCGATGTCGCCTAGCCCTAGCCAGCCCAGCCTCAGCCCAGAAACCTAGAGAGAAAGCCCACGAGACCCAGCAGCCTAGACAGCAAGCCCACAAGACCTAGCGAATGAGGAGGCCAATCAGACGAAGATACCCAGCAGACGAAAAGACCCAGTAAATGAAGAGACCCAACACACCTGAGACCCAGAGACCAGCCAAGACCCAGCCCAAGGCGCCCCAGAGATCACCGCCGGTGTTGATGTGTCGTGCTTGATTGGAGTCGTCGGGCCCGAGTGTTGAACATCAGGGCGTCGATCGTCTTGAGCTTACTGCCACGCACCGCCCTGAAATAAAACTACACAGAACGTCAGTCAAAGCTATAGGGGAACGAGATTGGGGAGGAACTCACAGGTTAGCATACCTACCACACGAGCGTCTGTTGGCTTCCCTCCCAAGAGGTACTAGAGCCCCTGGACCACGACAAGGTCGACGCTCTACCAGGGGACCGGTCTTGAAGCTCTTGGGGCCCGGTGTCGAGGTTGTGCCGAGGGCGCTGCTGTTGAAGGCAGGTCAACGCCAGTCTCTCACGTTCACGCAATCACACAGCTGCAGGAAAACTGAGGAGGAAGTCAGCGTGGTTACTGGCATGCGCGAATCGAAAGGGAATACTCACAGATCAATACTTGTGGGCATCTATGAGTTTCGTGTCGGACATCACCCGTGATTCCTGCAGGAGAATCCAGAAGAAATCAGCGACATACTGAGTAGAAGGAAACGCACATTTCGAGCGTCTGTTGGCTTCCCTCCGAGGAGGTACTGAGCCCCTGGACCACGGCAAGGTCGACGCCCTACCAGGGGAGGGACTCAAGCTGAAGACTTGAGACAAGCATACAGAGACGAAGATGGAGACGGCCCAGAAGTGTCGCCGTAGTGATAGTAATGATGAAAGCGAAAGTGAAAAGAAGAAAGCAAGAGTGAAAAGAAGAAGGCAAGAGCGAAGAGAGGAGGGCGAGGGCGAGGGCGAGGGCGAGGGCGAAGACGAACAGAGGAAAGCGAGAGAGAAAACAACAACCCCACTCACGGACCTGTAGAAAAATAAAACTGCACGAGATGCGTCAGAAAATAGATGATTATTGAAGCGCGAGCGCACTCACCTGTTAGTAGCGTCTGTTGGCTTCCCTCGGAGGATCGGACTCCGAGGTACTGAGCCCCTGGACCACGACAAGGTCGACGCTATCCCAGGGGACCGGTCTTCAAGCTCGTTGGAGCGCGGTGTCGAGGTTGTGTAGAGGGCGCTGCTGTTGAAGGCAGGTCGACGCCGTTCTTTCACATTCACACAGTCACACAGCTGCAGAAAAACTGAGGAGGAAGTCAGCGTGGTCATGAGTATGCGCGCATTGAAATGGAAGACTCACCGATCAATATATATTCCTCGTGGAAATCTTGAGTTTCGTGTCGAACGCCACTGCTCTAAGAGAATC